TAAAATTGCCAACAAATAAAATACTGTGTTTTACCAGTACTTTAAGAATACATCGAAATAAATGTAAAGAATCGAGAATTTGAAACAAATACTGTATAACTTTATTACACTATCCCTACTATTGACTTGATTTGTCTAATTTATAGCCATCTAAACAAAAGCAAACAAATATTGCACTAAATTTGAGAAATATTCTCAACATCGCTACCAATACTTTGAAAGTTACTATAAATACAATATGAAAATTGGTTTAATTTTAGAAAATAAGTTACTTTTCATGGAATGGTTTCCTTTGAAAAAAGATCCCAAACCTAAAGTCAGACCTAGAATTGAAAATATTGTTAACTTTCCAACACATGCATCATATTTGAGTCGCTTTTTTAATATGTGTTTCAATGGATTAAAGAAAATTGTTTCATCCATTCTGTATGTTTCACTGAAAACTCAATGCAAAGTCTAAAGACAACGACCTCTTGACGAGTGAAAGTCTGTATGACTACCAAAATAAAAGTTTGAATGCAAACACATTTTATTGCATTTATGTCATAAGTTTGAAGCATTTTATGTAACATTCAATTCAATACTATATGTATTAATAGTAATCGACGGACAAAATCAATACGAAATTCAATTCCAGCGCGACATTCACTACATATAAACTGATATAAAAAATAAATTTTATTAATATAATATCTGCTCTCTATTTGTGTGCAAATATCTAATAAATCCATTAATGATTATCTAAACTCTCTTAAGCCTTAATGTAGTCAATATATGAGCAAAACTGGAGTGAGAGAGAGAGAGAGAGAGAGAGAGAGAGAGAGAGCTTATATAATGGCAACATTTACTGCACAATATATACTGTATACAGACCTATATATTAAATAAGTAAAAACTATTGTGTGTGTATTGTATTGTTATATAAACAAAACAATTGCAAACAAAAAGATGTGAATAAATATTCTTACTTTTGCATTAAATTCTGCTCAACTTTTATCTTAAAAATATTTTTGTTATATTTCATTCATGAGTTAAATCTAAAAACATTTTAAATTCCAAACCATTGCTTTTAATCTATAAAATAAAAATAAATACGACAATAATCTATAACTGAATTATTGTTTTCTAAGCGTAGACATTTACCTTTCGCTTTATAAATAAATCAATAAGAATATAAATTCAAGTTTTCGATAATAATGTTTCATTTATAATATATTTATAAGTAGTGAAGTATTATATTATCAATAATACATTCATATTGATGAGACGTTTGCGGACTTATCGTCAATAATTGATTATAATCGCCAAACTCGTCAAAAATCAGAGATCTCTCAATGATTTGGTTATTATATTATTGGTTTGTAAGAAAGAAATTACTGTTATAATTAAAGCTATAATGCCGTCATTTAAATGGATTTTTATTTCACTTCATTTTGATGTGAATGTAAATCAGCTAAAGATTCAGTGAAACGATTGGACGGCTTTTGATTCTTTAATGTCTAGGCTTTCACTCCCTTTAGAGTGGATTCAAAGAATTTTTTAATGCATTAAAAGTCAAATAAAACTTCAGAATATATTACACAAAATATATAAAGAATAGAAATGATATAAAATATAAGAAATTTATTGTTGAATAACTCTTTTCCTATTCAACATTCAATTGATATAAACATTCGTTTCAAATAAAAAGCGATTGCAATAAAAATATATATAAAAAACTAAAGCCATTTCATTTTCTATTTTGAATGTTGACAATATAAAAAATGGCAATAATTATATAGAAATATTTTTTAATACAAATAATAATAATTATCATTCACGAGTATTTTTATGCAAGATGACAACTGAATTGAGACTAATATATAAGACAAATGCTTACATTACTGTCCAAATAACCATTACTGTCGGTGTCGTACAGTCTGAAGACAACTATAGAAAAACGGGAACAATACTTATATAAATAAAGATATATCACAAACACTGGATTTGAGGTTGATTTTGAAGTTATGGTAAATAATTGTTGGCATAACAAGCGAAACATGTCTTACACTCGAGTTTGTCCTCCGGTCGTCCGGCCTCTAGTAGTGAGAGATAACAGACCACATCCTTGAAGGGCACCCGAAGCAGATGCACGTCTATATGAGAGCTCGCCTTTCGCAGTGGCTTCAGATCTACTGAAAGACAACGATAATAGACACGATTAATATATCATCAATTTTATAGATTTTTGCATATAATGTGTGAACACATATAATTAAGTGAAGCATTTGATAAGAAATTGGAAATATTGCTTTGTATGCAATTTTGTGAATCCACACAATTCTATACTGTTTAGCCTTATTGGGAATATTAACTTGTAAGTGTATATAAAATGTATATATCTGGTATGATTTAATGAAATGAGTCTTTCAACTCTTCTTTCAATATGACAGTGCAGTACTGTTTAGCATTATTACAGTCATTTGAAAAGAAGAGTTGAAAGACTCATTTCGTTAAATCATAGCAGATATTATAAATGTATTAAAATTCTGTTCAAAAAATATAACCTAATAAAGTCTAGGGAATATTCATTGAACTTTTTATTGATGAATATTAGAAATAACATTGTAAAGTCTCTAAAGCATAATCATACAGTATATTTGAAAACACTTTTCAATTTTTAACAATTAACATTAAGAATATTTAATTGCAATAATAAGTGTAATTATTATTATCGGCTTAATTTATTGTTTATAAAAAATATTCCAATGCTTAAATAATATCTCGCATCGAAATTAATTTCATTATTTAACAATTAACATTAAGAATATTTAATTGCAATAATAAGTGTAATTATTATTATCGGCTTAATTTATTGTTTATAAAAAATATTCCAATGCTTAAATAATATCTTGCATTGAAATTAATTTCATTAGTTATGACTAAATCTAATAAAAAGTACATTTCTCCAAGTTAATGGTTGATATATTTCTCAAAGTTAATATATTAGTTGTGGTTAGAAATGAAAAACAAAAACATTATAATGAAATAAAACGCATGTAAGCATACAATGGCTTTCATTATTTTTCATTAAATTTTCCTCCAATACAACAAATGAATAATAAAAAATTTTGGAAAACACAAACTTACTTTATTTTATTACATAACATTAAGGAACTTATCTTAAATTGGCAATGTACTCTTATGGTAAAGCTATTCATTTTTGCCAACAAAATAGACTAAAATATCTAATTATCCTTTAAATATCCCTAAAAATGGATATAAAATAGTGTATAAATTTTATTTTATAAATTCAATTATAAAATCACTAAAAATGGGTGTTTATGCCTAAATAGATCATAAAAATGTCAAATTTGTCACTCAAACCGTTTGCATACAATAATGAATATCAGATGTAGAGTTGAAATAAAACTAATTTTGTGAAACAATATCTATTGTTCTCAACCGTACTCTTCACGGAACCACTTCTTCGCAAACAATTCATTGTTTGAAAAATATAATAATAAATAAAACATCTTTCGCTTATTTTGTAGATTGAAATATTCATAACATTAACATAACATTACTTAAAGCATACATTTGGAGACACCATTGGAATAAAGAATTAGGATTTCGATTCAAACAAAAAGTTATTCATAACTCCTGACGATCTCATACATTGCTTTCAATCAAAAACTAAAATTGCTAGAAATTCTTATATATACAGTATTCTTAACACCAGAAATAACACATTTGTTTAATACATGCAATAACCCAGTATTCATTTGCACAAAAACAAACATTTCCATAAATTTAATAAAATTTTGTGATTTAAAATATACCAATCTAAAATCGCAAATACACTCTATTTGTATAATTTGTTTACGTATAGTTGATTAAAAAATAATTCTATAAAAATATTTATTTAAATTTCTATTTCAATATTCAAAGTAAAATTTAAAATTTCAAACAATAATCTAATCATCTATTCATCAATTATGCTCTTTTGCCATCAAATGATAAATGAAAGACAAGTAATAAAAATTATTTGCAATACTAAAGTGAATTGGGTTTTAGTGTTCAGTCATCAGTAATGTATAAGAGAGTGACGCCATCGCACCAATCGATAGGCCGGTGCTTAGGTATGGGTTAATTGGTTTTGTATTTATCGACTGTTTGGTTAAGTTTATGCAAGTTTTCATCGCTTAATGGGATTTCAAGCTAAGTTTGCTATAAACAACAGAATTGTGTACATTATTCACAATTAACGAAATGATTTAAGAAATCCTAGGGTTTCCTGTCGTCGGAATTATTAACAAAACAACAGGCGATCACTAAAACAGATAATCCATGAGATGTTATCAACAAATCAGACAATTTATATCAATTCCCTACCCTATGCTCCGAAATATGTCAAAAACATAATATATTATATACAGCACTAGTGTATGAATTGTATTATTTCCTAATTTTTGAAATTGGATGCAAAATTAGATGCCATATCAATAGCTCCCGGGAACTGAAACTTTTATATTTATGATAGAATTCTTGAGAAAATACCGAAACTTTCGTAGCCTTAAGGCTGGCAATAATCTAATGGCTTTCTCTAAATGAAATAAAACTGCATAACAATTGATGAAAAAAAGTATACTCTATTTATATAAAAATTGTAAATTACTGTTATTTAATGTTTGAGTGGAGAGAAAATCTAATGAATTCTTTATATTGAGTGAAATGTAGCGAACGTTTATAAATCAATTTTTTCATATCAATTGATATTAGATTTTTTGTGTTATTATTTCGATTTCAAGAGTGGATTTCAACAGTAAATGAAGCGTTTAATGAAATGAACAAAAATGAGAAACATTTTCGCTTTCATCGCATCGATGGATGAAATGTTTATGAACACAAAAACAATGCCAAAATCAATTCTCGCATTATATCATTTGTCTGATATTTAATAATTTTTAACGCACTTAAGTATTGGCGATAAAAATCTTTTGCAACAAATAAATTACTTATCACTTAAACGAGAACAATATATGTGAGGCCGAGGATGTCGTGCCACTCAATAAGTGGTGATCTTTAATGGGGTTCACGAGGAATATAAAATGCAACAAATGGACAGACATTCATGTGTGTGTTATTAGCAGATATTGCTTTAAATGACTGTTAAGGAAAATACACACAAATGTCTGATTATNTCGTGCCACTCAATAAGTGGTGATCTTTAATGGGGTTCACGAGGAATATAAAATGCAACAAATGGACAGACATTCATGTGTGTGTTATTAGCAGATATTGCTTTAAATGACTGTTAAGGAAAATACACACAAATGTCTGATTATATTGAGACAAATTCTGTGTTTCACTAATTCTGCAGAACTCAATCCAATCGATAGTTTGCTTTTTACTAAAAGCTCTCAAATGTCAAAACAATCACTAATCGAAAAGTAATATTTTTTATGTGAGATTTCTTGTGCTATGGCTTAAAATATTCAGGGATTTAGCAATTTATATGAACTGAGATTGAAAATTTAAACAAAATATTGAACGAAAACAAAGATATTTTCAAAGATTTGTAAATAAATATGCCTCAATTCAAGTTACTAACCCACACACAGAGTAAATATTTATTAATGCTAAATAAAAGTATAATCATGTTAAGTAATAAGTTATGATTAATAACTTAAAACATACATATTTTACACGCTTTATTAAAAGAAGAAATAATTAATAATAATTTAAATTCAATTTATTTTCATGTAATGGCAACATAACATACAATACATAATGTTTGCTGTCGTACACAATAAACTAAAACTATTTTTAAAAATAGTTTTTAATTCTGATAAAACTATTGAATCCAAAAACAATAAAGCGATCAATAAGTTTAAAGATAAGCGAAACAAAAAAATTTCGCCAAATTTATTACTTTTAAAAGTGATATTTTAAAAAGAAATGTCTTTTTTGTGTCTAAAGATATATTGTGTAAAAAGTTCTAACGATTAGTTACTGCACTAAAAATAACATAAATATTAAATAATAACAAGATAATATCTTTGACTTTAATCCACAATTAATTAACTCTTAGCAGTGATTAATGAGAGATATTGTAATTTATTTAATTTTTTGAATTCAGACTTTATTATGTCTAGAGAAAATCAAATAAAATTCAAACTTAACTTCAAATGAAATTTTTCTTAAAACATATTCAAATTTTGTAAAATTATTATTATAATCAATAATTATATCAAAGACTTTTTTGTTATTTTTAATTTTGTCTGAGAAAATCATTACATGTACCATAGAAAATAATATTGGTTAATTTTGTTAATAATACTGTTGAAAATAATTAATTTTTAAAATAGTGTGACACCTCTTAAGTGAAATGCCTTTAGGTTTAGGGCTTTAATTGTGCGATAATAAGAGATGGGGTGTCATTGGATGAAAGCAACAAAAATCAATAACTAAGCGAAAAAATTATGTACAAAAAATCAAATTACAGATCCAGGCTTTCCATTACATTACCATCCAATCCAATGATAGTCTTATGTATTTTTGTCACCAATTATTACTCAAACATACTGTACAGCCAAAACTCATTGCAATACAAAAGCTAAACCATAATGTGAACTATTCCTAGCTTTAAGCCATTTTTCAAACAAATACTAAAAAATTGTCATTTAAGAATCAAATAAATTCAAATTTATGACAATTTACAATTAAAAACCCTCAATTTTAGCCAAACAGCCCTACAATTGTTACTATTTTTATATATAAATTTTATACAAAAATACATTTCGATTAACACGAATGGAAATATATATAAAAACTTATGTTTTTTGTTGCTTTCGTATATAATTGAAGTGTCGCTCAAATACTCTCAAATGTATTATCAAATCATTCAATTTATATACAGTATTGGTATTTGAGTCCAAACACAGATTGTTATTGTCTTGCGATTCTGTGCCACTCGTAGAAAATGAGTAAAATTTGTTTTAAGTTTTAAGTGTTAGAGATAATAATAAACAATAAAATTGCAATAAAAACAAATGAAATGCTAAACCTAGTAAAGTATCCAAAGATCTGAGAAATATTATGAAATATTTGTTAAACGAATTTTATTTTATCGAAAAGCAAATAAAAACTAAGTGTTTAGTGATATCAATGAAATACATGTTCAGACTATACACAGAACTGGGGGTCTTATAGACGGATATTTCATTGAAAATAATACTTTTCAGAGTAGTTATAAAATTATATCAATAAAAACATTAATGTTTTTCCACTAATTTATACTCAAAGCACTTAAATTCAGCTCGTAAACTATTTTAGTATATTTGGGGAATGGGTCCAAACCCTACACCCTCACCATCTCTGCGTGTGTCTCGCAGTTTGTGTCATAACAGATATATTAATGTTTAAGACTTTCTCTTTAAACTACTTTTTATAGTTAAACAAAATATAGTTAAACAAAAATCGGGAAAATGTTTGGAAAGGAAACGTCACTCAAAATTGACACAAAATCTAATCGATACAACCATTTTTATATAAACTATAAAATTCAAATTATCTATTGTTCAAACAAAACATAACATAATTGAATGTATGTTTAAATTTACTTTATAAGTTATTAGAGATACTAAAATAGTTTGGCAAAACATTAATAGGTCATTAATATCGAGGAAAAATTTATTTGCTAATAATTTAAACATAAGACTACTTTTTAAAAAGAAATTACGGAAAATAAAAATATTTGCAAAAACAGAATATATTTAAAGAATTGCAAATATGGCAGAAATTTCGCACAAAATTTATTCCTAAAACTTATGAGTCGTTTTTGGAAGTGTTTTCTCGTTTTCAATATAAAAAAATAATAATAAAGGAGATAAAGAAATATTGAAAAAATTACAGCCAAATTCAAATGGAGCACAAAATGAATAATACATAGACTTTTGTATGAATGTTATGACACATAACGACTACAAACAAAGCGATAAATCAATGGATTTGTGATATCATTCGGAAGAGAGAAATTGTATGAAAATTGTGAGAAAGTATTTGAGAAGTGCTTGAAATGCATTTGAGTATTGGTTTGCGGTTTGCATAGATGAGAGCGAGAGAGAGAGAGAGAGAGAGAGAGCGAGAGAGAGACGGTTTGCATAGATGAGAGAGCGAGAGAGAGAGAGAAGTGCTGATACATACTGGCGTGAACTAGGAGTGAACTATTGGACTTTTTCGATGAGTTACGCGACACTTGGCTATGATTAGGGGAAGAGTCACTCGATTTTTGGTCCATACAGTTCTGTGTGACAGTCACCAGAGGGTGAATACTTGCACTCCCTATAGACATGTATGTAAAGAGGCATAGAAATACAGAGTTAAGCAATGGATATAACAAATGGCTACAAGTAAATGGCTAAACATCTCTTAATTTGGCATTCATCTTGACCTTTAAAAAATTATTTGGGAATATGTGGTGTGTTTTAGTTTTCGGGTTTGCATTGAACGCAAAGCGTTAGCAACAAAAAAGTGAGTGAAAGCACAGCGAAAGCAGTGTTGAGACAGAGTTTGAGAGATTAGTCTCTTTTAAAGTAGAAATGAATAGAAAGATAGAGTAATAGAAAGGACAGACAGTTAGAGAGAGAGATGATATATAGATAGTTAGATGGATATATTGGCGGAACGGTGGTCATACATGTACCTGCCCTTCCTCTTGAGGCGCATTCACTTTCGCTCCGATGATAGCTAAGGCTGTGCAGCCTCTCCGTCAAGCCATGGATTTTGTCAGCCAGTCCTCCAACGGCTGAGTGAGACTTATCGACACTTCCGCTGTTATGTAAGACATCTTTCTTGGCGTTGGGCTCACAATAGTTTTGAATAATAATATCGTGCGTCAGCTCTGGAAGCGATCCTCCGGTGTTGTGGGAAGTAATTGGAGCGCAGGCTGTGGTGGAAGTGACGGCAGCCATCTGTAAACATTAATCACATAGTGTTTGATTAGTGTCACAACTTTTGCAAACAATAAATCAAACACAGATCTGCTCTAACTCGCACACCGAAACCCATTCAAGTGATCACCAAAATCTCAATAAACTTGTCTTAAATAGAGACACGTATTCTCTTTTAGGATAATCACTGCCCAAAAGTGTCCAAACATTTTCAATTTCCCTTTAATCTTAATCAATAGCTCTTTCCTTTAATTCTATCATTTCTCGAGATGTCTTTCATTAAGAAATGAAAATATAATTGTGTCTCAAATTTAATTTTATATTTACAGTAAACATAAAATTCCAGAATAACAAGAATATTACAGTATATAACTTGAATGTTTATGTACTTATGTACACATTTCAGTGCAATATTGTGTCAAATGAATAAGTTTTGCGAAACAAAAACTTAGTTTTAATAATAAAAATAATGATTCAAATGGAGTGGTCTGTATGTCTGGACAACATAAATGGTAATCTGGTTATGGGTGCAAATGATTGCTCGACTCACAGTAAGCAATTTGGTTCCTTCGGGGACAGACTGTGAGGGGACGCAATGCTTGCCAACACTGATCTTATGTATGTCTGGACAACATAAATGGTAATCTGGTTATGGGTGCAAATGGTTGCTCGACTCACAGTAAGCAATTTGGTTCCTTCGGGGACAGACTGTGAGGGGACGCAATGCTTGCCAACACTGATCTTATTAATGGGAGACACAGTCTTCTTCACAAATGATAAAAATAGTCGTTTAATTAGTTCACGCGGTGTTTCCACGTCTAAGTATATATCCATAAACCGCTGAAAGCCCTCCAAATCCATGTCCTTTGCGTTTGTAATTTGCGTTTTGCATTAAAATTATAGAAATAATATTAAAATGCAAATAATGAACGCGAATAAATGAACATGATCATAATTGCTAGTTAAGTGACTTAATGAGAGGACTTACACCTTCGGGGTTATACCGCGACAGAGCGCCGGACTCTTTGAACTCGACGTCTAATACATCGCTCAACTTCTTCGTTGAATCTGAAAAGACAAGATATATATGAAAATAATGAGTTGTTTATATGCAGTGAAGTTTTCTTTAAGCAAATTTGGTTCATCAAAATCATTTGTGAATATCTTGTGATTCACAATATAAACACTTGAATTGGCACTCATCGCATCAATATACACAGTATGATGTATAATATTAATTAGATTTGATTCACAATTTTTGCTACAATTCCTAAACAATACAATCTTGAAATATACTTTATTTAAAAGCACTTTACAGTATTATTTATTTTAATTTCAACGGAATAACAATCGCATCGAAAAGTTATTTATGGCCAGAATATTCTGTATAAATCTCAAACTAAATACAAAATTCAATAATCAATAGGGAATAGAAAATATGTGTAAAATAGAAAATATGTTAAAATATAACTTTTTTAAATAAATCAAATTTAATTTAAAACTTATTTTATTTCGAAGGATATGAAAATAGGTTTAAAAGCTATCAAACTATGAATTAATATAATGATCGGAAAGATGAAAGTTAAATATTACACGAGTAAATAGACCTTTAATTGGATGCCCACTGTTGGGAGCGACAGATATTGCATAAGAGAATACAATTACATACTTATTAAAGGTTATGACTGACTGCTCACAACTCGCATATTATTTCCGTCATTATTTCATTGTCTTATTAGGAATCCGTTTGAAAATAAAAATCATAAATAACATGTAATATTTGCAAAAATAATCGGCAATAGTTTACAATTGTAGGAATTATATGACATTTGATATTATCAGTTATTTGTATGATTTAATGATGAAAATTTTGGATAAAATAAAAAACTTGTCAATATTTTAAAATGTTTCAATAGAGTGATTGGCAACCTGATTTTAATAAATTATTTTACCACTGAATTTATAAAAATTAGAAATACAGTATCATATATCAAATATGACCTTAATATAATGCAAATAATAAATTTAATTTCACTATCAAATATAAATGTGAATTTGTATAAAAATAAAATAAAAACTTATCAAAGTGCTCTGCTTATTTGCTAGTTTTTGATCTTAAAGGTGATAAATTTTAAATAAGAGTTGCAAAAAAGTACATTCTAACAATTTATCTTAAATTTAATGTTTTAAACAAATTGTGTTTTTGAGGTAAATTTTATCTAGTATATTAAACTCATGTTGTCATGAATTTGTATCATTTATTATTTGTCAATTAAAACATAAACCACATAATAAAATTGTATGACCCTTAATAATAAAGAAAATATAATAAAATTGTAGAAAAGGCAGTAAATATTTGATTACGAATTAAATAATATTCATAATAAAGCTGTTTTAACTGTTTGTTTACTTCAGATAAAAATATGTTTATCACTACTGTATTTAATTCTAGTGTAATAACCGTTCAAATACTTATAGATTTATGAATAATCCGGTTTTGGATACAAGAATTATCTCGTATTCAAGAAATACAAATTCCCTTAATCAGCAAATCATTTAACAGTAAATATTATTATACATTTCAATTAGAAAGACTTGTGTATTAAGAATGTTCTCAAAAAAAACTATTTCGTAAAAACCAAAAAATTTCCACATTTTTATATAAATGTCAATTTACAGTTATCTCAAAATTTGGTTATAGAAAGCATACAAATGATTCATAACTAAAACTAATTATTATATAATATACCAAACATAGACTATTCATAAACCTCAACATTAAATTATATAGAGTATAAACAACTGATGATATAACCGCATTCAATGTATAAAATTAATGCCAATTAAATATGATTCGGCTCTATGTATAAGAAAATCAATTCTGGTTTCTCTCAAATAATACAATGTATTGATTGAAAAATATCAATAATTGTATCTATTCTTCAATACGAGAAATAGTGATAAGAATGATAAGGACTGATATGTCCTTCATATGAGACGAGGGTTTGTGAACGAGGGAGAGAGGGAGGGAGAGAGAGAGAGATGGGGTAGGATGGAGAGAGGGAGAGAGAGAGAGAGAGAGAGAGAGAATTTTAGTGATATGTGAGACGAGATGATGTGATAGAGTATACAAACGGTTAGTATTATATAATTGAGGAGGAATTCTGTTGAGATATGGCATCACATACTCGACAGTAGAGTAGGACTGACTGAGCGCTTCATATGTTTGACTGCAAGGCCTTAATATTTAGGAAGTGTTTGCTCTCAAGTCATAGCCATATGGCTCTCAATTCTGGTATCATTGAGACAAACGATTCATAACTATTGACAAGTATTTAGTATTTATGCGTTCATATAATTTATGTGTAATCGTAATATACATAATATACACTGTATATTATACTGTAATCATAATGTGTTCAACGCATACATGTATTCAAATGTTATTCATAAGGATTTCTGCATTCAAATGGTAGATGTGTTTTGTAAAGCAAATTCAAAAACAAAAACCTATTTTTCTTATGATATCATAAAAACTACATAAATATAAAAATGATTACATAATAAAAGTAGAAAATTTAGTTTTGCTTTCTTTTTGACGACAACACGATTTGAAGGAAACCAACAAAATATAGTTTATTATACAGAATGAGAGAGAGAGAGAGAGAGAGAGAGAGAGAGACAGACAGAGAGAGAGAGAGAGAGTGTATTGATTGAAAAATATCAATAATTGTATCTATTCTTCAATACGAGAAATAGTGATAAGAATGATAAGGACTGATATGTCCTTCATATGAGACGAGGGTTTGTGAACGAGGGAGAGAGGGAGGGAGGGGGAGAGAGAGATGGGGTTGGATGGTGAGAGAGAGAGAGAGAGAGAGAGAGAGACGTGTTATACAGTGTGTTATATAAGGAATCAAAAGTTTAACTCAAATCCAAGTGAAACACGAAAAGAGCAGAAAAGCTGTGATTTTAAACATATATTTCTCTTATGGTATATATATTTATGGATAAAATTGATGGAAAAATTTTGTTCTCTAAAACTTAAATTATAAGTACAGCACAAACACAAACATATAACACAACTCTCTCCCCAATCCATTCAAACCATGCATTTCTGTGTTTATGTATTCATTTTAGGCTTCATTTATATATAGAATATATGTTTGGCATTAAAAAAGTGTAGAAAAATAGTTCAAATAGAGTTGTTTTCCAACCATTAGTTATATACAGAATATATACATTAAGAGAGACATGTATTATATAATAAACTTACACTGAATATATTCCTGGAGCTGTTCAAACTCAGAGGGCGACAACTTGTCCCACTTGAGTGTCATTGTGTGGCTCTATCCGCTCACCATCACCTTGCTCATATCACTAATATGACCAATATTATGCATATTGATTTGTCTGTTGCGGCAAACCAGTCATCACCGCATAAAACCACAAATATATGGGTATAAGTCACAGAATATAGCGAGAATATAGCCAGCTCATAGTCAAGTGTTAGCTAGGTCATCACCAACTACTACACCATTGGCTTTACAGTTACGCCAAAACTTGACTGATATTTGCGATGCAGTTATGAATCAACACTTTTAACTCATTGAGAAACACTTGCATAGGAATTGTCATATGAATGGTGAGAATGGTGTGAATGTATGTCCCCTTCCAGACAGCAATCAATTGCCAATCAATGCAATCGTTCACAACTGGCTATACTCCCAGTGCTAGTGACAGACACATGCATTGAACACATATAACACTTTAGCACTAATTATAATCATATCAATTAAATGTAGAGCCCTTCACACCACCGATGGTTTGCTTATTCATAGCGATTGAACTCATTTGGTAGGCTTTCCTCGATTGGCAGCGAAAACTTTTCACTGGTTTTTCAGAGTACGAGTCGAGCGCTAAAAACATTTGCTAAACATTTCTCATTGCATTGAATTGTGATAA